GGACCGGTCCGGCCCGTTTTGGTGATCCACATTGGATGGCTAGAAGTGTCCGGACGACCTGATCCAGACATTTGCGGGCATTTTGGTGATCCGCGTTGGAGATGCCCTTATTGTGTATTGAACGCGTGTGTTGCGCTTCGCTATTTGTTTACATTATGGAGCTTTGTTAAAATCTTCACATGCAAATGTTAGTTGAGGTAAGTAGTGAATAGTGCTGATGTTTAATTGCTCCTGTTGAATCCATTATGTTTGATAGGAAACATCACCGGCATGTGTTAACACAGTATTTTTCAAGCCTGATATTGGCTTGCTAGTTGTGCATGTACAAAATGCTTGCAGGGGGTCCTTATTTCATGAATGTTTGCTATGGCAGAAAATATCAATATCCGCTGTTATGTTTTTGTTCAAAGCTAACCAGGGATAGTTATATGTTTAATACTTCCATGATCAAATGCTTGGTTTGTCAAGAATTACTCATTCACTTGGATGATTTTCAGCTAAACTAAGGTGGAGCAGGAAAGAGACTTGTAATAATATTGGATGCGTGCTTTGAGCAATCAACTAAATTAGATAGTGTATGCATGTAAGCATATGGTACTCAAGTGATTTCCCTAGGTTATCTGAAGAATATTAGACTGGCGCAATGTTTCTATACTTGTATTATCTTTGGAACTCGTGGTGCTTTTGCGGCTGCAAGGTTATATGCACCATCAAGTTAGCATGGCCTACAGGCAATCATCAGGTCCCACCTTAGAGGCCATATAAGCACTGTGGATGCCCTAACTGTTTCCATTTTTATCCCATGGCAATATGTGTATTCTTAAACTTGATATATATTCAAGTATTAAATCGGATATGGCTCGCTTATAAACTGATCTATTTGTGAAATGTCTCCAGGATTATTGTGGCCATGGTGATAGCCTTTGAGAGCCTCATCTCTTGGTCAGTTCAGTTCCTCGTTTCTTCTGTCTTTCTACTTTAACTTCTCATCTTACTTATGCATCTGTACCCATTCCAGGATGCCAATGTATGGAGAAATTAAGCTTGCTTTCTTTGT